TGCAAACTCCTGTCTTCTGTGGCCCCTCCTAAGGGACTCTGAAGATTAATTGCCGTGTGATATAATTAACAAAAAGGACTTTTGTTTGTGTTCCACATTATTTTAAGCGGATCTAAACATATTGCGGACATTTAAGTCACTTATGTAGAAGCCATTATTCAAGGTATGCATTGGTTGGGGGTGAAAAAACAGTCCTTAATTAGCAGTTGTCTTTTGTTGTTGTACGAGTTTCTATTCCTATGGGTTTGTCTTCTGCTAAGCAGCATGAGGTTAGACATGATGGATGATGGCTCAGAATATAGACGAACGAAGAAGAAAGACCGAGTCCCTCGAGAACACCCACAGCTGTAACTTCAAATGCAGTTTTCCACCTCCAGTATAATAATGAGAGGACACTAACCAAAATAAAGTACTCTCATTGAGCACCTCCGCTGGTGCAACATGTACAGCGGCGGAGTACAGCAAGAACGTGTAAGGGGAACACAGGGTTGCTTGGATGTGATAGAAAAAGTGAGCTTACAGAACAATAGGTCACACAGAGATCAGATCTTATGATGTCTATGAATTGCAGCAGAGGAATAACTGTACAGATCACAGCTTTTTAGATGGAGTTACATAGGAGACTGATCACTGGTCTCTGCAGAACCTGTCAACCATTCAGAGTCTTTTACTAGTCCACCTTCTAACCCACTAATGCTCACTTTCCCTTTGTTCCCATGCTGCTCGGGCACAGACACCACAAGCATCCAGTACTTCAGGGTATAGGGAAACATGTGACCTCCCCCCAGGGTGTATGGCTGCAAGTGGTGACATCATTAACTCTATGTAAGCTCCATCACCATCCATGAGTTGGGAAGGGTTGGGGGTGGGCTAGATAAGTTACTTTGTCCGTTGTCACTTCCAAGGTGGGGGGGGGGGGGGGAGTAAAATGCAGTTAAGTGAAGTCTACCACTCTAAACATCCAACTACAGTGGATGTGAAGGAAATGTTTTTTGGGGAGCTAATGGACCAGCATGACAGCCAGGGAGAGAGCATTTTAGAAGGCGTTATGTAGTAGTTTACATATTTCTTTTATGACAAATATAATTTATATGTAGCTATAAACATTTTTGCATTGGTTGACAGTAGAAAAAATATCCCATTCCCATCTATTCTAAATGCTGATATTAACAGTAACAGGGTATGATTCATGCATTTTATGTGTGTTTGTATTTGTGTATGTGTGCCAAACAATAGACCATTATGTGATGCTCATGGTTCCAGTCTCCACATTGTGACAAATCTCAGCTATATGTCAATTATTTAATAAGTCCCCATATAAAGGTAAAGCATAATGAGATTAAATAGTGCAGATCAGCTACTATAACAGCAATGGAGTGGGGGTGATTTACTAAAACTGGTGCACACAGAATCTGGTGCAACTGTGCATCATAACCAATCACCTTCCAGGTTTTATTGTCAAAGCTTAATTGAACAAGCTGAAGTTAGAAGCTGATTGATTATGCACAGCTGCACCAGATTCTGTGTGAACCCATTTTAGTAAATCCCCCCAATGTGTTGTTACTTATAGACATTTGAAGATTGACTAATCCAGTCAATTATTGGAAACATCTATATCTGTAGGCAGACCTCTGTGGACAAACCCATTGCTAACAATACTAAGTACTAATAATCAGTAATCAGAAATTGATTTTCCAAGATGTTTACGATTACCCTACCTACCCTACCCTGAGATAACGTGCAATTAGCAGAGAACACTAGGCATCATGAAAGGTTTACACCACCTATAGTCGTCAGAAGACCAGAGTGGATAATTATAGGATACGTTTACCTTTCATAACATGTTACACCCATGATCAGGGTGTAAAAATTTACAATTGGACGGGTCCCAGCAACCCCCCCCCCCCCCCCCCCCGATACCCATTGTGACAGCTAGCAAGGGATCTTCTTCTCCCCACTAGCTGTCAAAATTTTAAAAAAACATGGCCGTGCAGGGCTCTGCCCGCCTGTCTGGCCACGTCACTCATTCGCAGTTTTCTGTGAATGGGAAAAACTACAGGTCGCAGCAGCCATTGTGGCTGTTGACTTGTAGTTTTCAATGAACTAATACGGCGCTCCACAGTGCTGAGGCAGTTCATTGAGCCTTCCCATCAGTAAGTATCTGCTTGCCCGTACAGGATGTATGAGCAAGCAGATATACTGACAGGTCTGGGAGAGACCTCCATGGCACCAGCGATCTGCTGATCACTGGTGAAAATGCTTAGAGGCTCCACAAACGAAAAATAATAAATGCTCATTTTTTTACCTGCAAAAAAAAAATAAAAATGTGTTATTATTTTTTGTTAAAAGGTGAGCTTATCCTTTAACAAAAGGACTGAAACAGTTTACAGCTTTAAAGTTTTACCCTCATAACAATTGGTGCAGGCTTTTACTATAGCCAGACATCAGGCTGGCGGAAATGGGAGTGAGTGTGAAACAGAAGCAGTGCTGTCTGCCAACATAGTTAGCAGTGAACAAAATATAATTGATCCTGATCACTTGCATTGCAAATGTCCACTTGTTTCTAGACAGAGAAGGTAGCGCTGCTCCAGGTATGCTCGCCACTCCCATACTCCTCAATCCTTCAGCATGTGTACTGGCCTAGTTCACACACGTGTTGTAGATCAAACTAAAGTCCAGGAGGCTGCACTAAAGCACATATCCACTTTATTGTATAAAAAGGCAGCTTAAAAACACCATACTGTATGCCAGTGGGGGGAAAAAAGGTTCACGCATACTGTGCTAACCTCAGCGCTTAATCATAACCCTGTGATTATATATCATAACTCATGGGGTTATGATTAAGTGCTGAGGTTAGCGCGATACACGTGAACCTTTTTTCCCCCACTGGCATATAGTATGGTTTTTTATAAGCTGCTTTTCTATACAATAAAGTGGATATGTGCTTTAGTGTGGCCTCCCGGACTTTCCTTTGGTCTCCATTTGTTTCTAGATTGGGGCCTGATTATACAATACATTTTGGCTCTCTGGGGGTGATCTTACCCTTACTGGTGGTTGTGATGAGTGTTCTGATTGAGATGTACTTTGAAATGGAAGGGGTGCGTTTAGGTTAAATCTCTCCCTGAGAGCATGTCTATTACTGTGATTGTATTACAGGCCAGTTTTTTTTAACTGAATTTGAATTTAGGGCGACATGTCTATCTGGCATCATGGGGTTTTTTTTTGCCTTGAAGAATTTGAGGTATCTGCAGTTTAGTCAACACAGAGTGGAAAGTTAGCTATAGGATATTTTTTTCAATTGCTATTATTCTATCATTAGAGATTTCCATGGGCACCAACATATGATAGTGCCCTGATGGAATGTCCCTCCACTCATCCCAGGTTTTTCTGGGTTTCTATTTATGTAAGAATGTGGATGTGCCTTAGTCTTATATTGTCCCCCCTTAGTCTCAGATCTCCCCTGGTGATGTGGGAGGTGGTGGTGGGTTTTGTGTGTTTTTTTTTTTTTTTTTTCCGCTTTCTTTCTCTCTTCCTTTCCTCTTGTCCAATTATCTCCTCTCTTCCCTGGGTCCATGGAGTTGACCATAATTATGTATCTGTTTTGGGACTGCTATTTTGATATTATGTATCATTATATATTATTTTATCTTATTGCATTTTTTTGTTATCATTGTTAGCCACATCAACATATTGTACAAGCAAAGATCCTGAGCAAGCAAGCTATATGCAAACCGTCTCTGGATTTCTATAACATATGTAATATGGCAATTCTGCTATTAATTACATTTTAATGTATAACTAAAGCTGTAACGTTTATATATACATAATATTGTGTTTGACGCAATATTTGTGTTAAACATATTGACACAATCCCTCTCCTAAAGGAGGCTGGAATGTTTTTTTATTTCTAGGTTGCCACTTCACCCAACTTCCAATCGATGTGAATAGGAAGTTTTGTGTAAACACCAAATTTTAAAAAGTGAAATTCTTTTGGAGATCCAGGTTCTAATGTTTTGGCTGTATTCCATGCAATAAAATAGAATACAAAATGTTGTCATTGCAGATTTACACCAAAACATCTTGAACCAAAGCCATGCTCAAAAAACATGGTCTTTTTTCCTTTTCACAAAGTAGGTGTGAACTCACTCCTTCCTCTCAACAGAAGGCAGGAACTGTCACAGTGCTGTTTGCCCAAACTAACTTCCATATTATATGCTTTCTACATTTTAGAAACAATCCAACAGGCAGTTCCAGTAGACAGAGCAAGCTCAGTGATAGATTCCAGAATGCTGCATGATGGCAAGGTGGCATAATAGGGCAATAGGGGCATAGAAAATTCTTCGTCATAGGCCACGGCTACAAGTACTGTATTTGAGAAATAAAAACAAAACAAAAAAATACCACAATTTTATATATTAAACCTTAAATCAAGGTTAAAAAACCATGTTTGTTTTATCTTTGGATGTTTGGAAAGAGGTATACCGCTGCCTCATCTACACCAAGCACTCTATGACTAATTATGTGCTGAATCTGCAAAAACATTTTGTACTTTGAAAACAGAAAATGCTGCTTGATGAAGCAAATTTTACATTTTTAAAATGCCACAGATGATTTTCCCAAGCACAGCCAAGTATCAGAAGAGCACGTAGAGCCAGCCTACATATATCCTTATTCAGATTATGTTGAAAAAAGATTCACTATAAAGTACCTGGACTTGGACATCCTTCGATAACAGGATCCTGCTGAGTTGCCACAGATTGCAAGGCTATAAATGGAAAGAAAAGGTAAGTCAGCAAAGGATATGGCAAATATCAGCTCTGCAAGAATCGTCATAGATCAGCACTTTCTTTGCCACAGGGCACTAAAACCCATGGAATGCAGTGCCCGCCACGGGCGGAACAAATCTCACTTTCCACACAACTAAATGAGTACAAGAGCGCAGGAGTACAGTGCCTCCCTGTCATTCCTGTCTGATAGAATTATCCAAGGTCACATTCTGACTATATCACTGCCTGCTGCCAAAATCCCTTTAAACAGAGTAAAAGAGGAAAATAAGGTGGTGTACAGCAAGGCTCACACAAAGTTTTATTTATAGTACCTTGTCCTTGTTGTTGTCCTTGTGACTGCAAGACGCTCTGCCCAAGCTCCCCGTTCAACCATAGCTGCATTCTAATGAATGGTTCCCGGCCTTTCTGGGTCAGCTTGCTCCAGGGTTTCGGCCTGGATAGCATGTCACTGACACTGCCCTGTGACAGGCCCAGCACCTGAAAATTCAACACACAGGTTTTGTCAGAAATAATGCTCTTACTGGCATAGGTTTGGCCCTGGTTTTACCAAGTACAGGATCTTGTACCAGAGCAAGCAGATCAGTCTAGTATTATACTACCAACTTTATAAAGTGATATGCAAGTATTATATGCACAAAAAAAAAAAATCACATGTACATTGTGGAAAATCAATTTAAATAACTAAAATAAAAGCAAGCATGTGATAGACTAAGTGAACATTAAAGACAAACTTCAGCCAAATTTTCTATTTGATTTTGGATAGAGTAGGGAAGAGTTGCAATTTCTGTCACATTTTAATATCTGTGACTCCTTCGGGAAAATGTTGCCTTATTTGATGTGAAAGGGACACAGGGAGAAAGAAAGGGAGGCGCTTATGTCACTAGGACATTCTAACCCTTCCTCACTTTACTAAAAATGTGTTGTAACCAGTGAAAATATTTCTTCTCATTCAGCCTGGGTTCAGAATTCGGTTTCATCACTCCAGAGAACACGTCTCCACTGCTTTAGAGTCCAATGACGGTGTGCTTTACACCACTGCATCCGACGCTTTGCATTGCACTCGGTGATGTAAGGCTTGGATGCAGTTGCGTAGCAAAGAAATTTCATGGATGAACTTATTGCACAGGTGGCAACCTATCACGGTACCACACTTGAATTCACTGAGCTCCTGAGATCGACCCATTATTTCACAAATGTTTGTAGAAGCAGTCTGCATGCCTAGGTGCTTGATTTTATACATCTGTGGCCATGGAGGTGATTGGAACATCTGAATCCAGTGATTTGGAGGGCTGGCCCAATACGTTTGGCAATATAGTGTAGATGGATATAAAAAACTGACAGTGGCTCTAACCTTTTTCTACTTTGTCCAAAACAAAATCAGACCACGGAGAACAAGGCTTTCTGCCCATGCAGCAGCTAAGCAATAATAAAAAGATTGAGAAACACGGGCCTAACGCATTACCCCAGTTTTGAGGGACAGGGGATCTTAATGCTGCTGTGCTCAGGCAGCATTAACAGCCCTATCACACTCACCTCTCATGTAACCCTCCTGGAGCTCCGCTCACCAGCCAATGACGAGTGACGTTGCATCCGTGCACGTCACCTCTCCCATCCACAGGACAGTATTATCACCTACAAGGAAGGGCACTTCATAGGACAATGTTATCAGAGCGGCAGATGAGGGGTTAGTGGAGTCGCAGCAGTGCGGCGGTTGGCATCTCATGTCTTGGCCTATGGTTGGCATATACTGTATTTGCTCTGTCAGCCGTGAGACTTTGCAAAATTATAATTCACTTTTTCCCACCCTCCATTCACCCCCTTCCCTGCCCCATCCCTCTGGCCTAACACAGAGGAGAGAGTCACGGGTTACAGCACACCTAAATTGTTAGCTAAACTCCTGAACCACCAAGTGCCTTACCCATCCCCCAGTTAATGGTTATCACTTGAATTATTTTTCACATTATGGGCGTAAGTGGGGCCTCATGTCCAAATTTTGCCTAAGGTCTTATAAAGCCTAGAGCCGCCTCTGTTGAAGGGGAATCTGGTGTAAGAGGGGGCTCTGATGTAAGGGGGGACTCTGATGGGGGCCCTTACTTAAAGTAAAAAGGTTTTATATTTTTCTGTGCATGGCTGCATCTCTTCTCCCCTCTCTTCCTTTCCCAAAGGCACTCAAGCAATCAAATGCAACGAGGAGGACGTGGGGGGGGGGGGGGGTGTTGCTACGCCCTGCTGTGTGTCTATGGAGCCATAGATGTACAGCATGGGAGAAAGCACGCACCGTGTGCCCCCATAGCAAACGGGTTGTATAGGGGACACACCAAGAAGAAAAGAAGCCAAGATAGCTGACGGGGGACCCGAGAAGAGGATGATCGGGGCTGCTCTGTGCAATACCACTGCACAGAGCAAGTGAGTATAACATGTTTGTTACTTTAAATTTAAAAACATTTACCTTTAAAAACACTTTAGGGTACTCTAATGTAAGGGAGACGTTGATGGGGACCCTGATGGGCACTCTGATGTATGGGGGACTTTGATGGGGGAACTAATGTAAGGGCAGACTTTGATAGTGACTTTGAAGTAAAGGGTACTCTAATGAGCTTAAGTTTATTCTGAACTTCTTTGCTTTACTAAATTTTTTGCTCTGTTGTTCTGAATCATGTCATGCAGATTACAAAAAAAAAAAAGCTCAAAGTAAAATGTCAATCATTTAAATTCTATTGATTCATTTATAAATGATTTAGACTTTTTTGGCCTGCAAACATTTGTAAAATATATAATGTGGCCCTCATTCAGAAAAGTTTGGAGACCCCAGCTTTATAGTAAGCTTAAAAATGGATACCATTTTTTTTTGGTACCCCAATAAAGATTCCCTTAAAACATTCACTAATGTATTTTATAGATGTAAACAATCCAAAAGCCAGATTTGAAAAAAAATTTAATTTGTTACTACAAAGTGAAATTAATTATCTGCAGTATACACAAACAGAAAAAACGAACTTAATCTTTGTTATCAGCATTATCAATTCCAATTATGAGTTTAAATTTACATATAATCCACAGGTGTGTCCTTCATCAAGACACACGCTTTGAGGCTGAATCAATGGAGCAGTTACCTGTATCCAACAGTAAGGCTACGTTCACACTAGCCTTGTGTGCAGGCGGCAGAGAGGCGTTTGGTAAGCGTTTTTACCGCTTCCCAAACGCCTCTGCCAATTCTGCACATTACAGCACATGGTGCTGTTCTAACGGGAGCGTTTGCGTCGCGTCGCGGCAAAACGGACGCCTCTGGACGAGTCAGGAGGCTTTGAAGCCTCCTATTCTCGTCTATGTTGCCGCTCCGCAAACGCCCGGCCGGCGTTTACGGTGCGGTTGCGACGCGGTTGCGGGGCGTTTGCGGAGTGGTAACACCACTCAAACTGCATTATAGGCGTTTGTGGGGCGTTATTAACGCTCGGCAAACGCCTAGCAACCACCGCTAAACCGCGCATTGCGGCGTTTGCCGAGCGTGAATAACGTCCGCAAACCCGGGACCAAGCTTGCCATAAAGCTATAGGGGCGTTTGGACAAGCGTTGGCAAACAGCCTAGTGTGAACGAAGCCTTAGTTTCTCTTTAATTAACAGTCTGAGGACTGGGTGGACTGCTCCATAAGACTGCAAATGGCTCTTCATTCAAGCTTCAGATGCTGAAATCCAATGTAACTATGCACCATTATCATGTCAATCCCATTTGGACCCAAACCCAATTAGGCACACAAGTATGGAATGAACATAATGGTACTGTGGATATAAAAGTCCAACCACCCTCCTTGCCGAGCGTTAATAACGCTCCGCAAACGCCGGACCAACGCTTGCCAAAAGCTATAGGGGCGTTTGGCAAGCGTTGGCAAAACAGCCTAGTGTGAACGAGCCCTTAGTTTCATCTTTAATTCAACAGTCTGAGACTAGGGTGGACTGCTCCATAAGACTGCAAATGGCTTCATACAAGCTTCAGATGCTTAATCCAATGTAACTATGCACATTATCATGAAATCCCATTTTGACCAAACCAAATAGGCACACAAGTATGGAATGAACATAATGGTACAGTGGATATAAAAAGTCTACACCTCCTGTTAAAATGCCAGGTTTCTGTGATGTAACAAAAATCAGACAAAGATAAATAATTTCAGAACTTTTTTCACCTTTAATGTGACCTATAAACTGTACAACTCAATTGAAAAACAAACTGAAATCTTTTGGGGGGGAAGCAAAAATAAAATATTGTGGTTGCATAAGTGTGCACACCCTCTTATAACTGAGAATGTAGCTGTGTTCAGAATTAAGCAATCACATTCAAAATCATGTTGAATAGGAGTCAGTACAGACCTGCCATCATTTAAAGTGCCTCTGATTAACCCCAAATAACGTTCAGCTGTTCTAGTAGGTCTTTCCTGACATTTTCTTAGTGGCATCCTACAGCAAAAGCCATGGTCTGCAGAGAGCTTCCAAAGCATCAGGGGGATCTTATTGTTAAAAAGGTGTCAGTCAGGAGAAGGGTACAAAAGAATTTCCTAGGCATTAGATATACCAGGGAACACAGTGAAGACAGTCATCATCAAGTGGAGAAAATATGGTGCAGCAGTGGCATTACCAAGAACTGGATGTCCCTCCAAAATTGATGAATAGACGAGAAGAAAACTGGTCTGGGAGGCTGCCAAGAGGCCTACAGCAACATTATAGGATCTGCAGGAAAATCTGGCAAGTACTTTCTGTGTGGTAAATGTGACAACAATCTCCCGTATTCTTCATATGTCTGCGCTATGGGGTAGAGTGGCAAGACGGAATCCTTTTCTTACGAAGAAAAACATCCAAGCCTGGCTAAATTTTGCAAAAAACACATCTGAAGTTTCCCAAAAGCATGTGGGAAAATGTATTCTGGTATGATGAAACCAAGGTTGAACTTTTTGGCCATAATTCCAAAATATATGTTTGGCGCAAAAAAAAAAAAAAAAACACTGCACATCACCAAAAGAACACCATACCCACACTGAAGCATGGTGGTGACAGCATCATGCTTTGGGCCTGTTTTTATTCAGCTGGAACTGGGGCCTTAGTCAAGGTAGAGGGAATTATGAACAGTTCCAAATACCAGTCAATATTGGCACAAAACCTTCAGGCTTCTGCTAGAAAGCTGAACATGAAGAGGAACTTCATCTTTCAGCATGACAACAACCCAAAGCATACATCCATATCAGCAAAGGAATGGCTTCACCAGAAGATGATTAAAGTTTTGGAATGGCCCAGCCAGAGCCCAGACCTGAATCCGATCGAAAATTTGTGGGGTGATCTGAAGAGGGCTATTCATAGGAGATGCCCTCGCAATCTGACAGATCTGGAGTGTTTTTGCACGGAAGCGTGGGCAAATATTGCCAAGTCAAGAGGTGCCATGCTGATAGACACATACCCAAAAAGACTGAGTGCTGTAACAAAATCAAAAGGTGCTTCAACAAAGTATTAGTTTAAGGGTGTGCACACTTATGCAACCATATTATTTTGGTTTTTTTATTTTTACTTCCCTCCACCTAAAAGATTTCAGTTTGTTGTTCAACTGAGTTGTACAGTTTATAGGCTACATTAAAGGTGGAAAAAGTTCTGAAATGTTTTATCTTTGTCTCATTTTTTACATCACATAAAACTTACATTTAGACTTTTTATATCCACTGTACGTATACCTTGCATTCATCAAACAATTCTAAGAAGCAAATGAAAGCATTCAGTGAGCTACTACTACAATTGTATTTGTCAAATACTGCAACTGAATTAAAAGTCACAAAGGAGTTCTGTGTAATCACCTTCAGAGTAAATTCACAGTGTTCTCTACAAGATCATAGGAAGGGCAGTTGCAGTGTAATTCCTGAAGGCTGCTCTGTGTTACTTTTAGTCTCTCTCTACTTCCTGCATCAACAGTCACATTCCAAGTATACTTGAATCTGATTGGTGACTGAAAAAACATGGACTTTTGTTTTATATTTGTGTGAGGAAGCAATAAGGATGTTCTAACATAACATGGGTTTCAGAATAACCAGATCTCAGACAAAAGACAGGAAGGTGAGCATGTGCAGTACTGTCTAAAAAATGAACTGAGTAGGTGGCCTGTGCTCCCTGTGAACATCTCAAGATTTAATTTTCAATCTCTACAGTAGTGTACCTTTAAATTCTTCCTTCAGATGTCCCAGGAGCACAAGGTCACTGACATAGGTGCCCTGAGACATTTGCAGACACTTATCTAAAAGTCTATAAGCTTGCAAATGTACTGTATTTCGTAACACAAAGCATCGTTCAGCAATTTTTCAGACTGACTGTATTGTGCTGTGCCAACCCAAACATTTATTTATCATATCTGTGTCAAGTACACGTTCTGACAGTCCAGGAACAACATCTACCTTCTGCCAACATGGGCTGTGAGCAGCTGCATTGTATGATTTATTAGAGTGTGTGAAAATCAAGACAAATCAAGCAAAGACTGTATCAAGAACTGCTTGTAAGCAAAGCGCTCATGCCAACGTTTTCTTTGGAAAGCTGTGTAGATAATAAGCAGAACTTGCAAACGGTAAGGTAAGTTAAAATAACACAAGCGCTTACCTTTTCACCAAATATCCTTTGGCAGATTCCATTTTTTGCAAGTTTCTCTTTAACTTGGCGGGTGAGCTCTATGGTGTCCACCTCTTGGTACATGTACACCTCATACTGTTCAGGAGTTAGTGGAGGGACAGATGGTTTGCTTGGTTTGGTTATAGATACAACTGGAGATGAAGGCAACGGACTGTTCTGGGGTGTTTCACTGCGGCTGGCTCCTGTCATGCTGATTTCTGAGCTCTGCGAATACGGAGATTCAGCATTTGGCCACTCCTTCCAGTACTCAGAAGAAGACGAGGGCCCTTGTCGGTCTGGCCTGTTCTGAGTGATAAGTTTCTCCTTTGTGCAGTTGGACTCTTCAACTTTTGTGTCTTCAATTGGTGCTGTGGTCCTCCTGTCGTGTGGAACAGTGTTCCACCAATGGTCTTTCCATGCAGTACCTCGTCCCAGCTCATTTTTTACATGCCTTAGCATTCCCTGCGTAGATTCAGTCATGCTATGAATGTCTAACATTGACGTCTCTTGGGGCTCTTTTTTTACACTACAAAGGCTCTGTAAGGTAGAGATGCCAGAGTCCAGAACGGGTGTGTGTTTCTTCAGTGACATGGTTAAGGGAGAGTAACTAGACACTGAAGAGACTGCAGTGGTAGAGATAAGTTTTGGAGAAATGATGGCAAGATCAGCTTGGGACAGAGATGCCGTTTTTAAGGCAGGTTCAAAAGCAGCTTGCTGGGCTTCCATTTCTCGTCTTGCTTGTTGTAGAATGGACCGAATAGTGTCATCAGAATTACCACTGCTAGATGCTGAAGAGGGCTGAGCCGGCTCAACTGCAGAAATAAGTTACAATAAATCAGATACAAATTTTTTTTGTAACCTTAACCAACAGTCATGGCCTGTAAAATAAGGTGTCTTTACTTACCTTAAAATCTATTTCCTTGAGTCCACTGAGGGATGCAGGAATTCAGAAACAGTTGGATTATACTGCAGCCTCCAGGAGGTTTAGGACACTGGTAAACAGAAAAATTGCAAGCCAACCCCTGTATATCCCTCTATTCTACCAGGCATGCCTCAGTTTTGTGAAAACCAGTATAAGGGCAAACAGAAAAAAAAACACACAAGGGTGGAACTTGAATTGACTCCAAAAAATAGAATTTAAAGTAAAAAAAAATATATTTTCCTTCTTGTCTATTGAGGGACACAGGAATTCAGAAACAGCTGGGACACCCAAAAACTGTGCATCTGAGAGGTGGGCAACAAGCACTGACAGATCCAGGAATGGAAACAACAGAAACCACCTGCACATAGGCCTACCTGAAGCTACTGCCCAAATCTGAACCAGATGAGTTGAGATTACCTTCAAGACAGGGAAAGTTGGAAAGAAAGGAAAGGCCACAAAGGATTAACCTGATACTCAAGACCACGATAAAAGGGATCACTGCCTAGGAGATGAGAAGTCTAAACCATCAGGAGGCTGTGAAAACAAAAACTCAACCTAAATAGATAAAACAACATACCTGATGCTTTAGAAGGAAGAAAGAGACCAACAATGTGATGTGGTCAATAGGAAAGAATACTGGGACAAGTCTCCATGAGAACAGATCCCCAGAAGGAATCTTGGACAAAAACAGGTCCAAAAAAGAAGACTAGCTGGTCTATGCATGAAGGACCACCCCTTAAACGTCCAACCCTTAGGAAACAGGGAAGAAATTTCAATGTCTCAAAACAAGCTATTACAATTAAAGCACAAGCCTCCAGACATTTGCTCCAGAAGCTCTGTGAAATGGGGTCTACCCCAGTGGTAGAACTCTCAGGAGACTTTACCCATTCTGGAATGGTCTGACAGACTAAGGTTGTCACTGAATCAAAAGCAATATGACAGTGCTTATACCTCAAATAAAGTAACATCAAATAATAAAACACATAATAAGTGTTCAAATAAGTTAAAAGTGAAGAATTAACATAAGAGTCATTAATACAGAGCTCCCCACATGCTTTAGGTTTACAAATGCGTGCTCCTTTACACTGTGTGCCCAGGAAAATGCACCGAACTCGCCAGACTGAGTTGACCTCTTGCATTAACAAGAAAGTCAAATAGCGCTTGTTGATGTAAAATGCAGCACTGGATTTTTGTATTTGATTTAGTTGGCAACACACAGGTGTTTGTAACAGCAGCTGTACTATTTATTTTCATTTGCATACATGCAGATGTTTTATGTATCTTTTTAGGATTACCAGCATGAGATAGAGAGCATGACCAGTCAACTCAAACTTGGATTTAAGGAGGGACTCTATCTGCTTGTTCGTGGAATCTTAAATGGTGAGCATATCCTCAACCAGTTCAATGTTCTCCCTGGAAAGGTGAATCAATGGTGTACCCATGGTGGGAAAAGATACTCTCAGATGGACCTAAGACCATTCCGAGTGATTCCATCTGGCATAGAGGAATGAGTCATATAGTGGGTGAAGCAGGAGGGTCTCTGCAGCCACTGGAGGTCTAAAATACCCAAGGCCTAAAACAGCAGGCTGATCCTCCAGAGTAATGTGCAATGCAACAAAAAGCATGAAACACCTCCACCCTTGTAAATCTGAGTCAAAAGGTAAAGAAACTGGAGTGTCTCAATAAAGTCTCTTTGCGACAGACTGTCAGCAGTGGCAATGCAACTGGGTTCAAAGATAAGGATTTCTGGTGACAGGACAGTGAAAATAGACCAGAGACTGGAGATTCGTGTGGTGTTTTCGTATTAGCAGGCAAGCAGGCTGAAAGGTGGGAAAGAGAGCATGTAGTGCATACATGCATCACTGTACCCACCAGATGACATCAACGCTGGGTCCCTCAGCCTTGACCCTTACTGTGGTTTAAACCAGCAGTGGTGGGAAGTTTAAAAAGCTGTTCATGAGGGCAAACAGTAAGACAGCTCCTGATGATTCAGCTCGAATGGCCTTACTCACAAAGTGAATCTTCAGAAACACGCCTGTGGCTGTGCCCTGACCCAGGACCCATAAAACTCTGCAGCAACAAAGAAGAGCCCAGTGGCAGAAACACCACAAAGAAGAACCCTGTGCCTGAAGGTCACAATCCAGGCTAGCCCAGCATGTACAGTCCAGCAAGGTCCAGGTAAAGCCTCCAAGGTTAAAGCTGCGGAAACGCAATTTCTGGATAGCTGTTATCATGGGGCCAGCTCAAGCAACAGCGTAGCAAGGAATCTTGATTGAAGTCATTGAAGTAAAACATTCCAACCTTCTAGGTCACTTGCAAAAAACTGAGGCATGCTGGGTAGAGGAGGGATTATATATAGGGGCTGGCTTGCAATTATTGTGTTTCTCAGTGTCACTATTGACTGTTGGCAGCACTATTACTGCTGTTTCTGAATTCCCGTGTTCCTCAATGCACAAGGATTAATGCCATATTTGAGACTCTACAGGTGAAACTCGAAAAATTAGAATATCGCGCAAATGTTCATTTATTTCATTAATGCAACTTAAAAGGTGAAACTAATATGAGATAGACTCATTACATGCAAACAAGATAGTTCAAACCGTGATTTGTCATAATTGTGATGATTATGGATTACAGCTCATGAAAACCCCAAATCCACAATCTCAGAAAATTAGAATATTACATGCAATCAATAAAACAAGGATTGTACATAGAACAATATCAGACCTTTGAAAAGTATAAGCATGCATATATGTACTCAGTACTTGGCTTGGGCCCCTTTTGCAGCAATTACTGCTTCAATGCGGCGTGGCATGGAATCTATAAGCCTGTGGCACTGCTGAGGTGTTATGGAAGACCAGGATGCTTCAATAGCGGCCTTCAGCTCTTCTGCATTATTCGGTCTCATGTCTCTCATCTTTCTCTTGGCAATGCCCCATAGATTCTCTACGGGGTTCAGGTCAGGTGAGTTTGCTGGCCAATCAAGCACAGTAATCCCACGGTCATTGAACCAGGTTTTGGTGCTTTTGGCAGTGTGGGCAGGTGCCAAGTCCTGCTGGAAAATGAAGTCAGCATCCCCATAAAGCTCGTCTGCGGAAGGAAGCATGAAGTGCTCCAAAATCTCCTGGTAGACTGCTGCGTTGATCCTGGACTTAATGAAACACAGTGGACCAACACCAGCAGATGACATGGCTCCCCAAATCAACACAGACTGTGGAAACTTCACACTGGACTTCAAGCATCTTGCAGTGTCTGCCTCTCCATTTTTCCTCCATACTCTGGGTCCTTGGTTTCCAAATGAGATGCAAAAGTTGCTCTCATCAGAAAAGAGGACTTTGGACCACTGAGCAACAGACCAGGTCTGTTTTTCTTTAGCCAAGGTAAGACGCTTCTGACGTTGTTTGTTGTTCAGGAGCAGCTTGACAAGAGGAATACGACATTTGAAGCCCATGTCCAGGATCGGTCTGTGTGTGGTGGCTCTTGATGCACTGACTCCAGCCTCAGTCCACTCCTTGTGAAAGTCCCCAACACTTTTGAATGGCCTTTTCCTGACAATCCTTTCCAGGCTGCAGTCATCCCTGCTGCTTGTGCACCTTTTTCTTCCACACTTTTCCCTTCCACATAACTTTCTATTAATGTGCTTTGATACAGCACTTTGGGAACATCCAACTTCTTAAGCAATTACCTTTTGAGGCTTTCCCTCCTTATGGAGGGTGTCAATGATGGTTTTCTGCACAACTGTCAGGTCAGCAGTCTTCACCATGATTGCGATTCCTACTGAACCAGACTGAGATACCATTTAAAGGCTTAGGAACCCTTTGCAGGTGTTATGGCTTAATTAGCTGATTAGAGTGGGACACTTTGAGCCTAGAATATTGCACCTTTTCACAATATTCTAATTTTCTGAGATTGTGGATTTGGGGTTTGCATGAGCTGTAAGCCATAATTATCACAATTATGACAAATCACGGCTTGAACTATCTTGCTTTGCATGTAATGAGTCTATTTCATATATCAGTTTCACCTTTTAAGTTGCATACTGAAATAAATGAACTTTTGCATGATATTCTAGGTTTTTGAGTTTCACCTGTAAGTTAAAATGTTGGCTTCACATACAGCACACTAAATAAAATATACACAGGGAACTCTAAACTGAGAATAGCCAGTAATTGCGGTTTTATGTATGTATTTGTGTATATATATACATATATATATATATATGTGTGTGTGTGTGCCACTTTCATCATGTAGCCTACCAATGCAGTCTATCTGAAGAGCAAACAGAATTGAACTGAAAGTAAATGTACACTGGGTGATAGTACAGTGTTCAGATGTATGAATCCTTAAAAGGAGTTTTCCACGTTCATGTAAAAAGCCCTTCAGCTGATCAGCAGCGAGTCAGTGGATTTCCACATCAGAATCAAAGTTGCCTTTCCTTATAGCTGAAAAGTTTGAAAACCCAGTTATCTGTTTTAGCAATCTGCATTTTTACACTCCAAAGTTAACAAATCTTCCACTAAAGCAGGACTCCAGGCATGCAGCTAAATGCCCATTTGAAATGCATATATTTGAAATGTTTTTACTGTGTTGAAGGACTTGTAATTTGCCATGATGCATAGCTAGTTAAGTAACTCTATCATTTCTGATGTATAGCTTGTGCCCAAAGCTTGCTCATCTGACCATAAATTAGCAGCATGGCGATACCAATACATTTAGGTTGATTTACTAAAGAATAAGAGGCTGTAAACTTCATTGTGAATGTTCATTAGGCTTAGTAAACAAAGTGAAGCTGTGTTCACCTTAAATACACAATCATATGAGAGGGAAAGAAAAAAAAGACAAAACAAGACTTTTGCTTTCATAACTGGATGATTGTTGTAAACACAGCTTGTACCTATTCAATAAGTCAACATACACTTTCCAAAGAAAACATACACTTTTAACTTTTGCCAAGTGAACAATCCATATTCCTTTCATTAATCAACCCCATTTTCCACATAGCAGCAGGTAGCACAGGGAGCTAAAGTAGGAGAGAGTGGCATCGCCTGCCTGATTAGGCAAAGTGAGAGGGCTAAACATAATTAGAAGTCTTTAATTTTGGTGGACATTGGGCATGTTTCACACACCCAAAAAAAATTAGTCGAAGTACACAGGATGTGTGTAGCATGCTATATGTATGTATGTATGTATGTATGTATGTATGTATCTACTGCTGGTTCCCTCTCTCTGCGTCCCTCTCTGTATTTGCTGGTAATTCTCAGCTGTCAAAATGACAGCTGGTTGTTGCTGTGTAACTACAGCAGCTATTACAACTGCTGTCAAAAACAAATCTTACGACAGTGTTTATAAACACTGAGAGATACAAAGTAACTATTGTTACTTTTGTATTTAGTCTGTTCCATTAGGGTTCATACATACAGGGTTTTAACAGGCATTTTATATAACTAGCGTATTTTCCTGGCGCTCTCCTGCACCCATGGAGCCATACGTGCCGCATATAGCCTGCCATACAAATGAATGTCTGTACGTGGCTGAGCTCTTGTAATCGCTGATGCTTGTTTGCATCAGCGTTTAACTAACCTGAGCTTTTTTTTTTGTAATTTCTTTCTTTCTTTATATTTTTTTGCAAGACATCATATATGGTGTCAGTTAAAGCAACCTGACAAAAAAAATTAAAACAAATTTGTTACCATTTAACACCCAGATTAGTTTACCCTAATCAGTCATAACTAAATGTTCCTAATCCCCTTTCAGCTATTATTTTACTGATGATTTTTCATTACTATTTTTGTAAGATGTAAAAATAAATTAAATTTATAAATCATTTTTCAATACTTTGTACCAGAATCATAATTTTAGTGCCATTTTAAACAGGGCAAATTACTGAAGAAAATGAATACTGTTTATCGACAACACAATTTTGTTACACTATTTTCCTAACAAAGTCATCAATTTTGAAAAGGGTGCTATATTTATTTTTGTTACTTTATAATATCTATGTATTGCATAAATAATAAAATCATTTTTTTCAGGAAAATATCACCTAAAGGAAGACTTATTTATCCTGTAAATACACAAATATGTACGCACTACTTTGTTAGCTTAAGTAATAACAAAGTTATTGCCAAATAAATGGGTAGAAATGTAAAAATTGCTCTGGGCAATAGTGGGTGTACAGACATGGGAGCGGAAATGGTTAAAGTGCAGGATATTATGTGGCTGCAGCATTGGTCCAATTCCACCCCTCACTGGCTCAGAGAACTGAGCAATCACATGGCCACTGATCGCTCAGTTCTCGGTCTTCAATGAGCAGAGGGAGGTGACTGGCAATCACCGGCACTGTGCTCTCTGTTTTCCTAAACTGATTTAGTGAGCTCCTATAGGCCTTTTGTCACTCCCTCTTAATTGACTGAATATGTTCAATGTGTGTTGAAGAACCGACTGGAATATAGGATCAATTAAATGATTGTTTTTAGGAGATTTTTTGACTTAATACTGAAAGATTGATGAACATTTTCAGTCAATCGCACAGTGAGAAACAAAAATGAGTGCACTTCATTGTACAATTTTTCTCAGTTGATGTGTTCGCTCGTGCTTGGATTGGTCACAAATTGCTACACGTATGGCCACCATTCAGTGTGTCCCCAATGGAGCACTTTCCTTCTATTCTTGTTTGGCTTACAGCTCAACATTTTCCCTGTGTGATTACTAGGACAAAGAGAGAGAGGAAAAATGTCATCAGCAGAACACAGAGCAATAAAAATCTCAGAGGTCCTAACCCTTCCTGTAAAAAAAACAAAGAGAGACGAAAAAATCTTTAGGCATGCTTAATGGATAAATTACTTCTATCCAGATAGTAAATAACTACACGCCTAAAGATGCCCTGCTATTTTTTTTTTAAAGAAATTGCAGTATCCATAATTGAAAAACTCCTGAGGCGTCAGCATCTAGTAATAAGAATACTACAGTGTGCTCTGCAGTGACTTTATAATCATTACTCATACACAAGTTGATGGCCAATGACACTTACCAGTCTTTAGCACCTGCAGTTCTCTTTTGGCTTGTTCTAGAATAGACTTAATGGCTTCATCTGAGCCTGTCTCTGAAGTTCTTATCCGTGTGGTAATATTTCCTAAAGTCGTAATATAAGTAAAATGCATCATTAGGTAATGCACAGAACACACAACTCTCTGAACACAAACAATAAACAAAGTGACGGACTACTTAGTGTTGACTTCTGCAAAGTCTGAGGTTTGCTGACTACAGCTTTCAGTGGTATTGTCTGTTGCGTCAGTTCTTAGATTCAACTAGTCACAACTGAAGTTGGGCATACATGTGCAGCTTTTTTCATTCAACCAGCAGGCTCAACAGAAAAACCTGACAGATCCCTGCATCAACGTAATAAAGTGTTTTGCTCGGATCTATCCCACTGTGCTATTGTATTCTTACAGGGGGACTCCTGCCCACCAGAATACACTTATCAGACATTAGCTGCAAAAGTTGATTGAATGATGGTTTTCCAGGAAGATTGGTCAAGAGAAGCCAGTTATTAGACCAGCTTCTTTTGAACAGATAGCAGTACACAGTTCCTGCTGAACCGGCCAAATTTTGGTACGTGTGTAACAACAGGCTTTAGGCCATGCATCTGCCCATCACCTCTTTAATATGTTCATCATGAAGCCCAGCAATATTGATACTTTTATTTGCAAATATAAGACATCTTAAGGGACATGTATACATTTCAGAAATCAAAATATAAAATTTGTGTTGGTACCCCAAAAACAGTTATTGTGGGTGGGGTATTCAGGGTATGATCACCGAGGGGCCCTAATGGCTGTACAGGGCACAGTTATTGCTTTTTAAATGGAATGTGTAGGAGTTTGTATATGGTTTTGTTTACATTAACCACCTCAGGTCCGAACACTTTCACCCCCTTCCTGTCCAGGCCAATTTTCACCTTTCAGTGCTATCACACTATCAGTGCTATCACACTTTGAATGAAAATTGCACTTTCATGCAACACTGTACCCTTATGAATTTTTTAGCATTTTTTAGAGACAGATAAAACTTTATTTTGGTGGCATTTATTCACCACTGGGATTTTTATTTTTTTTTAGCGATGTAAATGAAAATGTGCAAACATTTTGAAAAAAAAAGTGTTTTTCTTATAAAATTTTGCAAATAAATAAACTTTCTTCATAAATCTTGGCCAAAATGTATTCAGCTATCTTTTTAGTAAAAAAAAATAACCCAAATTAGTTTATAGCCAAAAATTATAATTTTTCAAAAAATGTTTTTACATTTTTATTTTTTTTTTATATTATTATTTATGTCGTTTTTTTTTAACATACCGTCACCCTAGCAGTACAGTGTCACCATAGTGACACTGTACTACTTGTGGTTGTGATGAAGATTTTTTTTTTACACTGATTGCTTTTAAACCCATAAAGGCTGTAAAAGCAATAATTTCTCCTTCTCTCTAGCTGCATTCTTGCAGCCATTGAGAAATACTGTGAGAGCTGCGATTGGTCACAGCTTGTTACATGGTACAAGGCTATTGTGAATTGCCTTGTACCATGTGACCTCTGTGATCATTCACAGATTTCACATGTAGTAAGCAATGATGTCAGAAGTGACATCTTGCTTACTACTATTCATGTGATCACTGATTGGCCAATCAGTGATCACATGATTGGGACCTCACATAGAGGGCACGTATAGCGATCGGTGTTCTGCTGTGTCCTTAGGACACAGCAGGCATTGGATCGCGGTGCGCGCGCTCCTAGGGAGCATGCACAGGCAGGGAAGCGGGATTTTTTGTAAAAAAAAATTGAAAACCATTTATCATTTTCCTTCTTCACAGTTATGTGCTACTTTGTGTTGGTCTATCACATAAAATCCCAATAAAATACATTTACAATTTTGGTTGTAACATGACAAAATATGGAAAATTTCAAGGGGTATGCATACTTTTTCAAGTCACTGTATATAGGTAAGCAACATCTGTTGCAACTAAAAAGTGTGCAATATCATAATAATTTAACTGATTAAATAAAGGCCAATACATGCTGCTATAATTTTTATAAGGAGCTGTCAGTCAAGCAGAGTCGATTAGAACGCTAAGTGCTCTGCTTCTCTCTCAACTGAAGTTTGCTGGAAACAGGATATTGAACAAATCAACAAATGCAGGATATTTGGCCAGACTGTAAAATATGTTTGCCAAGTTTCGATCAAGTTAAAACTATTTTTAGACATGACTGGTTTAAACTCGGCTGGAAATGTTAATGAGCTGTAATAGTATATCTACTTGGCAATACCGTGCCAAGGTAGAACACTGATCAAGAGGTATGCACATATAGCTAAAATATCGTGGCATTGGATCAGTGCCCTCTGCACTGTGTAGTGGAGGCAGGGTTAGATCACACAAGGAGGGGCTGGAAGAAGAGCAGAACAGGACTGGGAAAGGATCCAGAAAGGAAAGGATGAAAATTCTGGCTAGCTATGGCCAGCAGATAAACTCATGCTGACTCCAAATATAAAATGTATAAAGCATCAAAGATAATATAGTGGTGAAAAGAAAGTTCTAATTTTGTTAATTCTATCAAATTACAGTTAAAGGATAAGTTCACTTAAAAAAATAAATACCCATTTTTTGCAGGTAAAAAAATGTGCATTTACTAATTTTTTTCTTTTTTGGAGCCTGGAAAGCATTGCACCAGCAATCAGCAGATCGCTGGTGCCATGCAGGACTCCTGCAGACCTGTCAATGTATCTGCGTGCCCATATATCCCGTACTGGCAAGCAGATACAGTCTGCCAGGAAGACTCAATGAACTACCACAGCGCCCAACAACACCATGTTAGTTCAATGAGAAGTTCAAGCCAACAGCTGCAAAGGCTGTTGGGACTTGTAGTTCATCCATTCATAGAACTCTGAATGACTGACATGGCTGTGTGGGCAGAGCTCCGCACGGCCAAGCAGTTTTAAAAAAGTGACAGCTAGTACAGGGAATTTCCCCCTCACTGCTGTCACAGGGAAAGAGGACAGCGGGCTGTAGCTGCAGCAGTAGGGACATGTTACATGTTCCACCCTAAAAACTGGTGGAACATGTAACATGTTCCCAAAGGTGAACTTATCCTTTAAGATTCAGACAGATATAAACAAAAACACCAAAAAAAGATTTTGTCTTACTTTTCGTTCTGGCTTCAGTTTTACAAAGTAAAATTTTACATGGACACCAACATTGGGGGTTTGTTACTGCAGTCAGTGACACCACATTTTTGAGGTTTTAGTGCAGTTACTGACACCAGTGTTGGGGGTTATTACTGAAGTCATTGACACCAAATTCTGGGAGTTATTATTTCATAATCTAGTTTACAGCACTACAGTGTAAATGCTTTTTTTGAGTGTGAAATAGACATTTTGTTCTATAAAACTGGCACTCTCAATTTCCTACAAAATTGTTTTCAGTACACTAGGCTCAAAAGTTGTATTACCCTTGCTTTAATGCATCTAGTGTAAAATATCTGAACTTGTCTTCATGTTAGCCTCCTGTAATCCCCTGTACAGCAGTTCTTAGACTGAGAAAAAGAAGGGTAATACTTTAAATTGTATCCAAAGCCAAGAACAAAAATGTAATACAGGCGTACCTCGGTTTACAAACGCCTTGGTTAACGTAATTTTCGGTTTATGAATGTAAATCCATTGAGAATAATGCCTCAGTTTACAAATTGTTTTTGCAATACAAAGTAAGTTTCCCTAGGATGCATTGTGCCTGGGAGGTTTATAGCACTGGCCCCGTGCCTTTAAAGTGCACTTTCTAAAGAGTTTTGAACAGAAAATACTTTTTTTTTTTACTTTTTTCTGACCTCAAGAACGGATTCATTGGTTTTCAATGTATTTACAATTTTTTTTTTAATCATGTCCCTGTACAGTATTTATGCCTTTAAAGTGCACTTTATAAAGAGTTTTGAACAGAAAATACTTTTTTTTTTTACTTTTTTCTGACCTCTGGAACAGATTAATTGGTTTTCAATGCATTCCTATGGGAAACTGCGGTTCGGTTTACGAATGTCTCGTAATACGGAAAGTCCTGGAGAATGCATTACATTCGTAAACCGAGGTAGGCCTGTATTTTGCAACTTACTAGTTCTTAGTGTAGTAGCTGCATTAGTTTTTTTTTATGGCTTTTTTCTGGTGATCTTGTCTGTCCTTGGATGACAATGCTCACTCGCTACAATATATCTATGGATGTAGGACAGAAAGTGTTTAAAATGATTGTAAACCTAAATGTTCTATTTTTAAAAGATGACAAACATGTCATACTTACCTGCTCTGTACAATGATATTGCACAAAGCAGCCCTGGTCTTCCTCTTCTCGGGTCCCCCGCCGGCGATCCTGGCTTCTACCCCCTGCTGAGTGCCCCTATAACAAGCTACTTGCTATGGGGGCACTTTGCAGATTCACTCTCGAGTCATGCTCAGTGTTTCCATTGACACACAATGTGCGGGGTTGAACCCTCCTCACTAGCTGTGACTGACAGCAGCAGGAGTCAATGGATCCTGCTGCTGTCCCTGAGTCTATGAGGGAGAGAAAGAAGAGCCGCTGCTCTCATGCACAGTGCTGGATCAAGATCCAGGGGGGGAGGGGAGGGGAGGGCAGAACACAGAAGGTTTTTTACCTTAATACATAGAAAAACCTTCTACCTTTAGAACCACTTTAAGGACTATAAAGCACTTACAAAGCTCCTCCACAACATAGGGGGAGATGTTCAACAGTCCACACAGAGACTTGTAAACAATGCTAACTGAATAATGTCAGCAAAGGCAAAAAGGGAAGTTTATTAACTTACAGGATTTCTGAAAGAATCAAAAGGTATTTGTTACTGCTAACTGATCAAAAGCTTTCAATGGCATAAACAATAGACCAAAAGGGAGCAAATAGGAGAATTGTATTCCAAGGGATTGAATGCACTTTAAGCCAATCAGGCTTTGCTGCATGCACATACACTATGTTGATTGAACAAACGGACAGAGAAGAGGGATAAGTGAGGGATGATGTGTTGTTTCTGCGTCATTGTTCAAACAGCCGGCTGGGGGCTGTGTTATGACCAATGCCCTTAACCAAGCTAG